GACCTATAACAGATTTTGGTTTTGAGTGACTGTTTGTTTGGATTTGTAGTTGTTCTAAAGTGAATATCTTTACGCGAGTGTAAATGAGCTTAATAGGTAGACGTTCTTGAACCTCTATTTTGCTTTTGGACGTGCTTAATTTCGATTACCAGGAACTGCATTCTTAAAGGTCTTTTTCATGAAGGTGGACATTCATTGAATCTGCTGCTGCGCGATCCAGAAGAGGTCTTTGTAAACATCGCTGTCGTTAAAGGCAGCTATGCAGCTTCTGTCAATTAAAGGAGAGGTGTGTTCTACGAAGCCGCAGTTAAAGTAAAATGCACGAAACGTGATCCTCAGTGAAGAAATTACTCCGTCAGAAAGGATAAAGTGAAAAAACGGAGCGAAGGCGAGTACGACACTTACACGTACAAGTTAAGAAGAAGTTAAATGCAGCGAAGAGATCTACGTTGCTGTTAGTTGCTGTTAGCTTCCCTGCTACAATGTTGAGGAATAGGAACATCTCGTCTAAGCTGCGACGTCACCGGGAGAAGCTGCCGAGTGGATATGCGAGTGGCGGACGACTTTTATCGAATGAATTTCTCGGCCACAAATGACTCTTGAGCCAATATTTTTGGGCCCAGTCCATTTCCTGAGCTTCTTTTTCAGAATCCACCAAGAATTCAGAAGGCGTTCTTAAGGTGGATGCTGCCTCTAAAGTTGCCATCAACACCTGTAAAAGCAGTACTCTCGACTTATAACAATTTAATAGCACTCACATTTAATCAAGTTCAGTCACGAGAGTGGTATACAGTCGTGAAGAGGTATGTCTTCCATCTCACCGTCCATGTTTATTAGTAAACTCAAGAAGTTTGCTGTAAGCAGCCATTTAAGAGACATCAATAAGCAGAACTTTTAGTTCGTTCGTCTGCTATTGAAGGCAGTACCAACGCTCATAAAGCTCCTTAAATTCTCGGTGGATTCTGAAGGACGAACTAAAAAGCGGTTGAGATCCAAATTTCTTGGCTCAAAAGTCATTCCTCACCGAAAAACTGCTCTAGAAGGCTTGTTGACGAAATTCCTGAGCGCTTCCTTTGTCGGAATCACCTACCGCCTCACGCGCAAGAATTTGGAAGACTTGTACAACTCCACTCATTCCCAATGATTATAGCGCTTTAATTAGTGTGCGAAACACACTGACAAGACAACTCGTTCCACATCCTTTGCAACGGTTTCGCCAGACCCAGAAACCTTTCGGCCTTTTCTCGGTAACGAGTGGCTTACCGGTGCTCTCACTTTTGTTTTCGGCTATTCAGCCGCAAAGGGTTCGTAGACTGCCCGAAACTCGAAATCTTTTTTTAACGTGGATGCTACCTTTAAGCTTTTTTTTTGCCCCCATACCATTTGCAGAATTATCCAAAACTGGGCAACCTTTTCGCGTGGATAATGCGAAGCGTGACGAAACTGGTGCTGTTTTTTTTATGGATTACACTACATTCAGTCTATCGGTATTTGGTAGTTTCCAGATGTAAACAAGATTTAAGAGCATTTTGGAGATCTGTTTGTGTACACTGCAGCAGCCCTTTTTTCGTAATGAACCTCCATAAATTTGCTAAATTGCAACGGAGGAATTTTTTAAAAGAGACCTTCTCAACTTCTTTCTTTCTCAACTAGCAATGATTAGCTAGCAAGGATGGAAAGCGCTGTTTATCTTGTAACATATTAATTGAGGATTCATGTGTGTATGTGTGTGTGCTCATTTGTCTGTGTGTACACAAAACCAGGGCCTATCCAAAAACACTGACGCAACTATCGTGTCGCGCGCATTGAACTATGCAAGAAAAGTGTGTGAAATTTTAATTTTTCCACCATTGCGGCCTGTTTCGGACCACTGTTCCATTTCTTAGCGTAACGAACGTGAAAAGTTGTTTAAGTGAAAAAGAAATTAAGCCATATCACCATCTTATATACATTAGCGGTCAATAGTATTCGAACAAGGTGTTTTTTTGAAAATACATTTTTGGCAAAATTTTCTCTTAGTGTTGGGATTAAACTGCCTTTTGAGTATGCAGTGCCGCCCAATAAACTGCATTAGCTGGCACGG